CCGAATAGTTTCTCTGGTGTGAAAAACTAACAGTGTAAATAAGGATCAAAATATATAATTGATATTGTGAAATTGGAAGAAAATGTCTAAAGGAGTAGGGGAAGTGGGAGGGGTAGGGGAAAGGAAAGAAGGAAAAAGAAAAAATATGAGAAAAGGAAAAACATGGAAACAAAGTCTTTGTAAATAGGGAAGGGTGGAGGGGCTGAAGGGAGGGCAGGGAATGGGGAAAAAATAAGAACCAAGATGCATCATGTAGAGATACAAGATCCCAATGATAAATGTAACTGTATTGTGTACCTAAAATTCATCAATAAACTTAATGGAAAAAAAAAAAAAGACCTGAGTCTTAAAAGACAAAAAGAAAAGAAAAGAAATACCATGTGCTCGTAAACTGATATGGAAGTTTGAGAAAAAGGACAAGGTTTGATTCTACTACCTTCAGGTGAAGCATTTAACCCAAGTATTAGTTTTTTCATTTGTGAATTAAAATAATGAAATTTACTTCATGGGATCACTAATGTATGTGATCAGGATTGGCTGAACTCTATTTTAATATTGTCTCTTGCTGGTTACCAAATAGCTTTAGCCTCCCAAGTAGCTGTGGAATACTGAAGAGCCACAAAAATGTTGGTTAGAAAGCCATGTTAAAACAAATTTCAAGTAAAGGTTTAATCATGTCCTTTTTAATTGGATTTGTTAACGTTTCTGGATAAAAGTATATTAATTCAGGGGCTGAAGGTATATAACGTTATCTCTGGGGCTCAACTGAGAGCAGAGAGAGGAAAATGAAAATTAACCATTACTGTGTTTTTTCAGGTAATAAAAATGACAACAAAGCTTTTGCAAATAGGGAGGAATGGAGGGGTTGAAGGAGGTAGGGGAATGGGGAAAAATAAGAACCAAGATATATCATGTAAAGGTACAAATTCCCAATGATGAATGTAAATGTACTGTATACCTCAAATGTACCAATAAAAGGATTTAAGAGAAAAAAAAACGACGAAGCACTGCAAATTTTAAACAAGCCTAGCCTTCACTTTTCTTGTATAGAAGAGCTGCAGCAATCCACACTTCTAAACTTCTACATTTATTTTTTTGGTTTGTTCGTTCGTTTGTTTTGGTACTGGGGATCGAACTGTGGAACTTGCACTTGCGAGGCGAGGCAAGTGGCGGCACCACTGAGCTAAATCCCTGGACCCTAAACTTCCACATTTCTAAGTGGCCACCATTTCGTCCTTACTCTGTATACCTTCCTGATGAGTACAAAATGCAGATGAGTATTAAGTCACTCTACATTTCAAAGTTCAATCTGTGCCTTGGTTCCTTCAAGTGTAAATCGGGGCAGCATTAACAGTGAAAGACTGAAAGACTCCTTCAAACTTCTTGATTAAAGTAGCTACACGCTTCGCCCCAGATAAATAAGATGTCTCTGCAAGGAAGAGTCCAACGTTCAGCAAGAGACACGGGAGCTCAATGAAATGCTGACGTGAGGATGCTCTCATCCTTTCCTGAACCCTGAAGAGCGGCTGCAGCACTTCACAAAAGCAAATCCCACTGACGACCAAAGAAACAGCCTCGAGTCCCGAGATCCATCCCTTTGTCCGCTTGGCTGTTGACTGCTCCTAGCTCATTTGCCAGCTGCCGTCTAAGAGTATGGAGAAATGCTCCTGAGCGCCTTTGCAGCCTACCGCGATCCCAAGTGCAATAGTGAAAGAATCTTTCAAAGCGTTGCGAAGAGGACTCAGCCGGAGACATTTATGTAACCCCGCGAGGGCCAGAGCACGAACACTGCCTAACAATACTGCAGTAAGAACCCACGTCCCACCAAAACCGCCATAACAACAAAGAGGCTCTAATTATTCCGCAGGCACTCCAGGGCGGATCTGTCCCGGGCGGACCTGAACTGAAACTCCGAGGAGGAAGGAGGAGCGGCCAGCCTCCACCCGCAGGTGGACCGCGGGCGGCTCCACGAGGACTTCCTGGAACACTCGCGGTCCCGCTCCGCCCCGCCCCCGCAAGCGGCCACGCCCACCCGCGACACGGAGGCCCCGCCCCTCGCCGGAAGCCCGCGCCCTGGAACCCTCAGTGGGCCTCGGGCTGGGCGCTCACGCACCTGAGTCCCTCTCGTTTCTGGGAGACCCCGGGTCCGGGTGAGGGGAGGAACGACGGCGGGGCGGGCGGGTCAGGAGTCGCTCCGACGGCGCGGCAGCCTCGCCCGGGAGCACACGGGGGTCCGACGCTGTAGCCGCCGGAACAGCGCGCCGGCTGCAGTGGCCGCTCCGCTCGTCGCCCCGCCGAGTCCGCCTGCGCCCTCGCTGTCCGCACCGCGGCGCGACGCCTGGGCCCGACGCACGGCCGCGCCCCGAGGCCCCTGGCTGTCCGCTCCGCCTGCGACTGAGGGCGATCGGCCCCACCCCCGCTCGTGCCCGCCCGCCGGGAGCGCGCGCCGCCTTCTGCAGCGGCGCGGGCTGGGCTGAGCTGGCGCTTGCATCCGGCAGGGTCGCGGCCGGGCGGGCTTTCTTGCCAGGGGAAACAGAAACCCCTGCTGCGGAGGCGCCGGACGGGAACTCCCGCCAGGACCTAGCGTAATTAGCATGCTGAGGTCAGCGGCGGTCAATTTGCAGCCTTTAACATGGTCGTTGTGAAATCTCAAGCGAAAGAGAAAACGCTTGCTTTTAGGGTTAGCTCAAAAGCAAGGTGTTCAGTGATAGGCACGAGGATTACGTACTGAGAAAAGGCACGGACCGGCAGGAAAGATTTACGAGAGACCTCTGATGAAGTATTCGCACCCCAAATATATGTATTTTATTTATTGTTTTTGGTACCGGAGATCGAACTCGGGTACTTAAGCTTGCGCAGCAGGTGGCAAAACCACTGAGCTAAATCCCCGGCCCAAGTATTTTAAAAGTTTACAAGGGAACAATAAGAAAATACACACTTGATCGGAAGTGGGAAAAGGCCTTCACAAAAGCCCCCTGTGCAGATAAACAGGTGCAACGGTGTGCAACCTCAGGTAATAGGGGAAGTGCAAGGTAAAACGAGGTAGCACTGCTACTGGGTTTGGGGTGCTCGAGTCTTTCTAGAGGTGATCTCTGGTTCTTTCTGTCCTGAAGGAAGAATTGGTCGAGACAAGGGCAAAAGGTACCAAGGGTTTTACACTTATTAAAGGTATGAAAAGAAAAGAAACATGCTCTGCAGAGTAAGTGTGGGCCAGTCAAAAGTAGAAGACACTGCAGGGTGAGAGCGCAGTGCCAAGAGCTCAGTGGCGCCATATTTTGTACGTTCTGCAGCAGATCTCGGGCATCTTATCAAGAACCTGCTTCCCGAATTCTCGGGAAAAGATAGCAGCTTCTGACAGCTCCCAGGTGCAGGGCTTTGGCAGGGTCTCCCGGGTCTCCGTGATTGACAGGTCACACCCACTTTCCCAGCTGGCTGCCCACACCCTAATCTGCCTCAGTGCTGTACCACCTACTGACTAGAATGGCTAAAATCCAAAATACAACAAATGCTGGTGAGGATATGGAGCAACAGAAACTCACTTATTCTAAGAATGCAAAGTGTCACAGCCACTCTGGAAAATAGTTTGGCAATTCTTACAAAGCTAGTTGTTAGGGTTTTGTTATCAGCCACTTAGGT